TTGATTCATCGGAATCGATTCTTTTTTTCCCGATTAATCGATTATAAAAATCATAGCTCTAAAAAATAATCGATTCTCAAAATCGATTCTTTTAACAAATTACGGCATCACTACCGTGGCTGCCTTGGTAGAAAGGAGATAGAAAATAATATTCGCTCCTCTCTCTCTCTAATGCCCGAAGCCAAGCCGAACTTACCCGAGCCGCTGCCGAGCACGGGTGCACATGGACACGGGTTACGCTTTACGCTTGCGTATGTATGTATGTACCGTCGTGCACCACAGATGGGGCTGGAGTGCACCCTGTGCACCTCCGACGATGCTCGCAGCTCGAGTGCAGCTCCGATGGTGCTCGGAACCCAAAGTTTTCAGTTTAGTGTGTTTAGGCAGGATTGAGAAATGTGTTTGGCCGTTGAGGAAAGGACACGTAAAAATCCGATGCTGAGCTCTTCATTACTTTGACACATCCTTCCTCGCGTCGTCTCTCGTCTCTCGCAGTTACTCACAAACGGTAGAATGCGATAAGGAAGCTCGAACGAGCTCGGTACGAGGGACATTTATATTTATATTTAAAAGCAAAGAGGAAAGCCGAGACAACTGAGGAGACGCCAAGGGAAATAAGGAAGAACGGAAGACAACAGATGTCTACATCGCGAGAGCCAGTGACTCTGATCTTCCCCATTGATAAACGTTATCGGCATTGATGGCTCTGTCGTGGCGTTAGATAGTAACTCGATAAAATTTACGAAGCGAACAGTCGACATGGCAACAGGCGACGGTAGACGTGTTGCTCTGCTAACAGGTATCACCGGCCAGGTGAGCGCTTTATATTTCTTTCCGTAGGAAGATTTAATTTCAGCTAAACTTTCTCGACGCTGCCACAGAATGCTCGACCCGTCAGCACGCATGGTATTCAGATCGAAATGTTGCATTTCGATTAAAATCTCCAAGACGTTATGTCACTTAATTGTTACACGAATTCGTTACGATTACATTCATTTCTTTCGTTTGTAACAAGCATTTGGAATTTCCTTCGAGGCGACGGAGGTTTGTACTGGAGTCTTTTGTCGTAATCGCAGGATGGCTCTTATCTGGCGGAGTTCTTGCTGGAGAAAGGGTATGATGTGCATGGCATCATCAGGCGGGCCAGCTCGTTCAATACCGCGCGCATTCAGCATCTCTACGAGGACCCGAAATGTCATCGGCAGGGTAAAATGAAGCTGCATTACGGCGACATGACGGACTCGAGTAGTTTGATCAAGGTCATCAGCGCGATACAGCCGACGGAGATTTATAATCTCGCCGCACAGAGTCATGTCATGGTACGTGTTAATTGTATACAGAGTATTTATGCTGGGTGTCCCTGAATGGTCCCCATACAGCACCAAAGCTTTCAGAAACATTTTAGAAACATTGCAACATTGCAAATTACAATGTAATATTGCACAGACGGTCCAGAGACATTCAATTGTAATATTTTGCCAGCAACGTTTCAGTAACCTTGTAGAAATATTATAAAGTTTGCAAAATATATTTGTAACGTATTATAATGTTATTTAGATTTTTCAAATTTATATTATTTCTCGTGTATTCCAAACGCAGCCTAATAGTCTCGGAATTTCCGATATTACTGCATGGTATCGGTAGGGTACTTCAGATTTTAATAGATGAAGTTTGAGAATATACAATATAATAGACGTCCAAGAGCGATAAGAAAAAACGTTGCAATTTTTTCTTACATATCTCTTGGGTGTCTTTATATTAGCAAATTTTATTTATTAGGTTGTTCGGAAAGTTTGTTTTTCAAATTTCCTATCTATTATAAATACATATATAGGAAATTTAAAACGAACTTTCCGAACAACCTATTAAAATCATAAAGATCCTGCATATTTATATAAATAACGTATAATGAAATCAATATTACAAATACATTGCACCGTGCCATTACTGCAATGTTACATCGTAATACGTCTGAGAGAGGACATTTCAATGTTGCTTCAAGCTTGCAACAATGTTGCTGAAACATTTCGCAAGCTCCATGCAATGTTACAATGTTGCAGTGAAAGGTGTATGCAATGTTTCTGCAATCTTTCGGTGCTGTATGGGTCTGTACAAACTTTCGGAATAAGTTCCAGGGACCTAAACAAGCAGAAATGTCCCCGTGAACATGGGGTCGGAAACGCTTGCTTCTGGAGTTACAACGTTTCAAAGTTCCCCACAATGGCTGGAGAAATTATCACGTCAAATCGCATAGGCGTTACCAAGTTCTAGCACCGTGGACATTAGCCTTTACAGATGGTGTCGCAGCCGTTCACGATCCGCTGGCGAAGAGTTGCTACGTCTGGTACCGAGATAGAATAAACAAGGGTTTTCAATAAATAAACTTTGTAATACCTGTGCGATTTGACGTGATAATTTCTTCAGCCATTGTAGGGTACGTCGAAACGTCGTAACTCCAGAAGCAAGCATTTCCGACCCCATGTTCATGGGACATTTCTGCCTGTTTAGGTCCCTGGGACTTATTCCAAAAGTTTGTACAGACCATTCAGGGACACCCTGTGTGAAATATAATCCTTGTTTCTTGACAAACATGTAAGCTTTTTGTACCCTTTTCACTTTTTCATATTCTGTAACTCTTGTTACTTTGACACACGATTATTTTGTAGTCTTCAGATTCCGACTGGTTGGCACTTGACTGACTTTAGAATGTAATTAAGACGCCTTTCACTTGAAAAGGACCGGAATTCTCGGTCGAAACGTTGTGTTATTTCCTTAAATAAAAGATACGTCGAATAATGTTTCCCATTACGTTTGTTCCAACTAATCACTGGCGAAGAAAAGATTCTTAGTATTGTTTATATTAAATAGACTGAAAACTGTGTAGTGTGTATTATATTATTGTTTTGTGATAGGTAAGCTTTGAAGTGAGCGAATATACCGCGGAAGTAGACGCCGTAGGAACGGTAAGACTACTGGACGCGATACGTACTTGCGGATTGGAAAAATCCGTAAAGTTTTATCACGCATCAACGTCGGAGCTCTACGGCAAAGTGATGGAAGTTCCGCAAAATGAGAAAACGCCATTTTATCCACGTTCCCCATATGGTAATTGAGAGCTGTGCACTTTTGTATTAACTACATGTATGTCAAATAGTTTTATACATTCCCTTTCAATTTTTTAGCTTGTGCGAAGTTATACAGCTTCTGGATTGTCGTCAATTATAGAGAAGCGTACAACATGTTTGCGTGTAACGGCATATTGTTCAATCACGAAAGCCCGCGGAGGGGCGAGACTTTTGTCACGAGAAAGGTGACGAGATCTATAGCGAAGATACACCTGGGTCTGCAGGACGTCCTCGAATTGGGAAACTTGGACGCGAAGCGAGATTGGGGCCACGCAAAAGATTATGTAGAAGTAAGCAACATTTCGTGACTTGGAACATAAAGTTCGTCACTCGTGAATGAATGAATCGGACACTCTAAATTTCTCGATGCAATCTGTGCCGCGTGTAATGTGCAGGCAATGTGGCTGATGCTCCAACAAACCCAGCCGGACGATTACGTCATAGCAACGGGAGAGATGCACAGCGTGAGGGAATTTGTAGAAATAGCATTCCAATATGTAAATCGTACGATCAAGTGGCAAGGCGAGGGGGTGAATGAAACTGGGCACGACGCGCAAAGCGGTCAAGTTTTGGTTCGCATAAATCCAAAATTCTTCCGGCCAACCGAAGTGGTGAGAAATTATTATATATAGACTAGAGAGTATTAAAAGATAAATTTTATAACAAGAATAAAGGCTTATTGTTGCCAGTAAATAATTAACCAATGTAGGAAATTAATAGTGGACACAACTGGCAAATCCTAATTAAAGAAATCTATTGCGAAAAACATTACCTCAGCCATGGTTTGAACCTGGACCTCCCTACATTCTAGGCATAGTGTAGGCCCTGCCTAGAAAGAAGTAGGGAGGTCCAGGTTCAAACCATGGCTGAGGTAATGTTTTTCGCAATAAATTTCATTAATTAGGATTTGCCAGTTGTGTCGACTATTAATTTACTACATTAATCAATTTTATACTCTAACGTTTACGTTTGATTGTTCATCTTCTTTCTGTTTTTCGACAGGATGTACTTCTAGGCGATTCGTCGAAAGCAAGAAGCAAATTTGGATGGAAACCGACTGTTACATTTAAGGTAATTTTCTGGGTTCATTACAAAAAAGTAATTCTCAAAATTTAACACTCTACATGTCTCCAAATATCATATGTAATTGTGCGTGTTATTGCAGGAACTCGTAAAGGATATGATGGATTCTGACTTGGAGCTAATGTCTAAGAACCCAAACGCCTAACAGCGTTATTTTAATTGTGATACGGCCAAATACGCATTTGTCATTTTGTTTCCGTATGGAATGGCAGTATTTAAGAATTTTTATCTACTTTTTGTAAATATTATATAAATATTTTTTAAATGTCCTCGAAACTTTGAGGGACGAATAAGATTTTTACTAAACAATGTAATCTAATGGCAATAATATATTATACAGAAATACGAGAGAGGACTACTGAAATATCTAATAAACTTAAGGTGAAGCATCCAAGAACGTATCGAATAATTATGATTGATTATTAGGGAGAGGAAAGTGAAAGATGCGGTTTAGAGACATGACTGTATCATTTTATATCAAACGAGATAACGAAAAATAATCCTTTATATCAGTAAAGATACGTGTAAAATCACGCAACATTTTATTTAATAAATCGATTGTTATTGTAGATATAATACTTATCTAATCTACAACTGGCTATTATCTTTCAACCGGTCTTGTTGCTAAAATTCATGACTACACCCGAAAAAAATGGAAATATCTCATTATATACATATGTCTCAATCATGTAATATCTAATTATATCCAATTCTAAAATGATCAGATCTTTAGAGATCTGACACTTTTATTAAATATTCAATATTATTATCTATTGAAATCTAATTATGTTCTCTTAGGGCATTTAATTATAGATTTAGTTAGATCTCAATAGATAACAATGATTAAGCTTATAATCGACCGTAACTGGCAATGTGTTTTTCAACACATGGTTGAGACGCCCATCTAAAGTGAATTGAGGTCCAGGTTCAAACCCTAGCTGATATAATCTTTTGTACTCTTTTTGCCGACAAAATTTATAGTAGATTGTTCTTGATTAACTTGGTTGTCTATATATTTTATTATGACTTTGCATTTTTTGAACGCGCACACACACACAATGTGCAAAATCCGACCGGCAACTCCACATAGTGCAACCTCCACATAGTGCACATTGGGTAACGCAAATGTCGGCGGTAAATATCATTTTTCAAGAGAATACATGGTTCGCTTCAAAGTCATGTAACTCTGTCAAAAAAAATCGTAGGATAATTTAAAAAAAAGCATTTGGTAGGTAAAATGTTGTCGATTATAGAACTCGTATCAAATTTTTTTAGAGAAATTTTTTTATCAAGCTGCAATGTGTCAAATATACATATACGTAATTTTAAGGAACAAAACAAGGTATTCTTTTTTAAAGCGCAAAACGAAAAAAATCGCAGGATAATTTTTAAAAAAGCATTTGGTAGGTAAAATGTTGTCGATTGTAGAACTCGTATCGAATTTTTTTAGAGAAATTTTTTTATCAAGCTGCAATGTGTCAAATGTATACGTAATTTTAAGGAACAAAACAAGGTATTCTTTTTTAAAGCGCACAACGAAGAAGATGAACATATTTAAATAAATCGTCGACAGGGTTTTAAAGTTGAGACTTCAAGTTTTAAAATGCTCGTTTAGTTTTGAGTCTACGATGATTTTTCACCGAGTTTCAGTGGTTTGAGGAGTCTTGATCCGCGCAGCTGTTTCCCCACCCCCCGCAGTTGCACCTGGAATAATGAGAGCGCGGCACGTCCCTTCCCCTCGTTCCCCCACCCTCCCTCCCTAGCCGCTGCGTCGGTGCCACCACCCCCTCCCTCTCGCTCGCGATCGTGCGATTGTAAACAATTGGATACGCGCGCGGAGGAGCCAGGCATCGGGAAGGATGCGACTGACATGGGCCGAGGGCAGGTACGCGCTCTGCCTGCTGATCCTGCAAGTGCGGCTGACGAACTCGCGGACGTCCTGGCGGCTGAACGCCGCCGACAAGGTCGTGAAGACGACCGACTTCGTGAGCGCGATCGAGGACGATCCGATCTTCGATATCCTCGCGGGCAGCGTGGTCACCGGCAACGGCCAGGCCTGGAGCAGGACCGCGACGTCGGAGAAGCACGAGAAGGTGCAGATATACTGTCAGGAATGCAAGGGCTTCGCCAGCCAGGAGAGGTGAGAGCCCCCGGCCGGCCGTGTAACTATCCTGCCGCAGGATCGCGCTATTAGGTTATGAAAGTTACAGCTTGTCTCCCTTCGGTTCTTCTCCCCCTCGGTCTCTCCCTGCCCTCCGCACGCCGCATTGCAATTCGATATAAAGCATAGGTGCGTCGGATACTTTCGCGAGCGAAATAAAAGACCTCTGGTAAGCCGTATTGTTTCAATTATTTAAATTGGCCAGAATCTCTTGGGCGTCAATTCTGTGTCTTACGACACAGCGAAAGCGCTGAAAGCGAGCAGGCCTGGTCTCTTTCGAAGGGGACAGTCGGAAAGAGACGAAGCTACTCACTTTTAGCATCTTCACTCTAGGGCAAGATACAGAATTGACCCCCTGACCTTCCCGCAATTCAGTTTGTATCTTACATTGTAGTCCACCTGCATGCGTATAGTTTCTCCTTTTCCTTGTGTTACCACCGTATACACAAGTGACGCCATTTATGTGACATAATTTTCTTTTTCTTTCTGTAGTTAGCGTTTTGTGTGTGGCTTGCTGTTCATTCAGTGTTAAAACAGCCCTAACTTTGGTCCCCTTGGCAGACGACTCTCGTCGTACGTGTTGAAGGACACGCAAAATATCAGCGAGTCCTACCCACTTACCTCGCAAGTGTCGAGCGAGCAGGTGACCTGCGCCACCGGCCAGCAATGCGACAACATAATATTGGACTGCGGCAAGCCGGTGAATTTCACTTACTATGACAATCTGATCGGCGTGGCGAACCGGAACAAGCATCCGTTGGTACCGGAGCCCAATGTGGCGCTCATGTTCAAGAAGAACGGCGGCAAGAGTGTCGACGTCGACATTGACCTGCTGGAGAGACGCTTGAAGAAAGCGAAGCGGGAGGTACATATTTCGAAACCTACCAACCAATTGGAAGAAATGTCTCGCAAAGCTGCGAAATTAGAGTCTAGCATTTTCGTTTTCACTTGAGTCTTCGCTTTAAGCACTTTCGCAAAAAGGGACCGTGAGCGCCTTTAGGTCCAAGCAAGATGTTGGTAGCTTAACAATTGTAATGTAAAATGTGATTTTGTATACCGTTTCCCACCTTGTCCTGCGCGCCGGTTCTTTTCGGACACAAGGCAGTTTTATTTAGATGGAATCGTCGTCGGCAAAATCACGTATTAAAATCGGCAAACGATTAATTTTCTTTACAGTACGGGGAAGGGGTATTGAACGTTAAATATAGCATTTAAAAAATTAATCGCTTATCGATTTTAATATGTGAATTTGCTGACGACAATGATTCCATCGAAATGAAACTGTGTTACGTCCGAAAAGAAATCGGCGCGCAGGACAAGGTAGAAAACGGTATATGAATTTACATTTTAGATTACATCTTGGACCTAAAGGCGCTCTCGTTTGCTGGATTTATGTCGTAATGTTTCTATTTAACTCTATTTCTTTTACAGTCACACAATATTTATGTCTTCTGGATAAACTAGACTTTTTTTCCACCTTTTTGCACATTTTTATATGTATCGAATGACTACAATGAAGGTTTTACGTAACGCAACTCTTCTAATTTCTCTTCAATTTCCAATTATAGAAACCAAAATCTGTCCAGCTTTATAACCAGATAGGAAATTTCTGGCGTATAAAAGGTGATGCGCAAAGATCAATCGAGTGCTTTCGTAGAGCGCTCGCTGTGTCACCGCACAACGCAGAAGTGCTCTTGAACTTGGCTAGAGTATTGCTGGTGCAACATTACTTGGACGACGCGACGTACTTAGCCAGGCGATCCTTAGAGTTGCAACCTCCGGATCGCAACGCGTGGGAGCAATATCTTACACTTGGACAAATATTCAAGGTATACAAACAATAATTTATAGTAGCAGTACAGCCGTGTAAAATATAATGCTTTGAAACATCCGCAAAATATTTTATAAATCACTTATAATAAAGATGAAATGGAGATTATATAATAATTAAATTGATATAACTTGTTAATTGATAGTAATTCATTTGCTCTTTTAATTGTTTTCTTAGAAACTAAACTTCAATCAAGTTACTATTGTAATCGTTTACTGTTTCTGTTACATTCAACCATCGTGCGAAACTTAATGCAGTTTAACAACTTTTTTTCCTCTGACGCTGCAATTTTCTTGAACAGTGGCACGTTCCAAAAGTATGAATAATTATTCATTTAATTTTCCAAAAATGTGTCAGTAAACGACGAAGGAGAGTTCGCTTATTGTCACCAGTAATGATTAGAAATGAGACGGGAAACTAATAGTCAACCCAACTGGCTAATTATTTAATCGATTTATCACACAACGTTTCGACCCTATTTTTTGGGTCCTTTTCGAGTGATACTGCAAATCAACAATAACTCGACTTTGTCTTATTCGACGACGATAATTAACTCAGGTGCGTTACGGAACTTTAATAACTCGACTCTGTCTTATTCGACGACGATAATTGACTCGGGTGCGTTACTGAACTTTTAACTACTTAACGAAATCCTTTTATTTATTTATTAACCTACATGTTTCATAACTACGTCGTTATTGTTGATTTGCAGTATCACTCGAAAAGGACCCAAAAACTAGGGACGAAACGTTGTGTAATAAATTGATTAAATAATTAGCCAGTTGGGTTGACTATTAGTTTCCCGTCTCATGTGCCAGTAAAGTTCAATATTGGATTCATTTTTATTTTACAGGCATATGGACACTTTCAAGAGGCAGCTGTACACCTGCGTCACGCACTGGAATTAAAACCAGATCTTTCCGATGCTGCCGATGCATTAAAAGAGGTCGAGTCACTGCCGCTTGCAAGTATACACGTGTATACGTTGCTGATTATCGTCGGCTTGGTATGTAAACTAATGGACCACATAAACGCTCGCAATTTCTATGGAATACTAACAGTTATAAATCAAATTTCTAGCATTTTCTTATATCTTGAAATAAGTTTTTATCTAATCGATTGTATGAAAGGACAGGAATCTTTCTTGTTCCCTCCCGTAAACGGATGGAAATCGTTGCAAATACAATCGTTCATTGTTGTAGGTGCTCGGTGTCCTTTTTGTTGTGTTGACCAGCGTGGAATGTGACGAGGATTCAACTCTAGTCAATGGACAGCTTCAGCGTCCAGTCCAACGACATTTCAGTCGTGCTATGGCTATGCGCAGCTTGCGGCTTAACGTTGCGCGCAATAAACGCTGTTGATGACGACGATTCATTATTGACGAATCAGTCGTTCGTACATGTGATAGAATAACTTCTCATGCCATAACGACTTATCTCCCTACAAAGTTATTTGTAACATGATAACTCGCAATAATTCTTGGGATGCACTAACTGTTTATTATATATCTCCGGAGAAAAATATATGAGGAAATGTACAAGAATTTCATCGCCACTTTATTCAGACCGGATCCAAGCTATTATCAAACATAATTTTGAGTTTAGACTCTCAACTTCCATCCAATATTTATTTTTATCTTATCAACGTGTTTACAGAAAATAAAAAATATGGAATGTCATATGCATATATACCAGAATTACAGTTCTCTTTCAGTTGCGCTATCACATATATATATATATATATATATAATACAATACATTGTAACAGTTTCTTTCAATTACCATATACACGAAACTAGAATAGATACAAGTGATACGCTTTTAATTTGCTTTCCGCGTATATCACTTTATAATACGATTATGTGGCTGTAAGTGATATATTAGTACCTGATTAGAGCTGAAGATTAGCTGTAACATACAGAATGTCTCAAGAAAGACGTGAAATAGCAGCAGAATTCTATTTTTAAAATCTTTTATAAATTAGAATTATAATTTTAGAGGCAGAACGATGCGAAGTTAGACATACAAAGAATTTCTATAACAAATGATAGAGTTTCTACTCCACTGTTTATTCTGAAAATTTTTATTTTACTGAAAAAAAAATTCTATCGACGAAAAGTCTTTGGAATGTTCGCGTAAGTATGCATTTGCTTCTACTTCTGCGTTGGAGCTGCAAATATTTGTTTAGATTGTTGATAATTTTGAAAGGAATCTAAAATTATATTACTAACATATAGATTAACATCTTTTACTCATAATTATTTTGTTTGTAATATTCAATGATTTGATAAATCTCACCTAAATACTCATTTCTGCAACAAAGTTTCCATTAACATTAACATCTTGCCGACCGTTCTAATTCTTAAAAATAACATTTATTACATGCATATATTTAATTGTTATTTGAAGAATAATTCTCTTATATATATATGGATATAAAAGGTTTCGTTCTTCTTTAACGTTTAACATTAAATATTAATATAGAATTAAATAAGAGTTATTAAATATTAATAACTCTTTGATTCGCTGCTAACATCTGTATACAACTTATGACATTCTCCGCTGTCACTTCGCACCTTTTTGAGACAGTTTCTACGAGGGTGAGTCAAAAATTATCTGCACTTTTCGTTCTACAATTTATTTACACAAAAATAGGGGTTCAATGTATACATCATTTTTCAACATAGTCTCCTCCCTTGGCAATGCACTTAGTCCAGCGGTCCACAAGCTTGCGTATTCCTTCCAAGAAGGTTTTCGATTGCCACTTTTGCACCGCTTCCTGCACGTCTACGTCTGTAGAAAATTGGCGACCTCGCAAAGCATCCTTGAGCGGCCCAAACAGATGAAAGTCGGAGGGAGCAAGATCTGGGCTGCAGGAAGCGGTGCAAAAGTGGCTTTGCGACCAATCGAAAACTTTCTTCTTGGAAGGAATACGCAAGCTTGTGGACGGCTAGACCAAGTGCATTGCCAAGGGAGGAGACTATGTTGAAAAATGGTGTACACATTGAACCCCTATTTTTGTGTAAATAAATTGTAGAACGAAAAGTGCAGATAATTTTTGACTCACCCTCGTATAAATAAAAAGAAATATATGTAATATGAAATTGCATCTAAACACTCATTCAACAAGATTCACACTAACAATATGTTTAACAAGGTTATTCTACATTAAAATTTAGCACGGGATAATGTAAATAACATTGTGTACAATTTATCTAAATAACGAGCCATAGGTAATATAGTAGGATTCTACTTTTCACCGAAGAGGGACAGTTGTTTCTCGTTACGTCGAAATTTTTACATGTAATCCTCAAAGGTGTGTTTAAACATTTCTAATATAATATCCTCTTCCAATAACTTATTACATAATGCTTATGAGATATGTAGATATAAAATAATTGTTTGCGAATACTTCCCTTACACGAATTTAAGAGAGAAGCTTAAATCGAACATTAGAAAAATTATAATATCTATTTTTGCTAAACAGAAAAGTTTAATTATTCTATTATAGAATTAACAAATTTCGAGACTTAGTTTCCGCGATCGGGATTAAAAAACATCTTGAAACTTATAAAAATTTAAAAATATTTATTTCGTAACATCGTCGAATATCCTTCGCTTGATTAAGTTTATTCTCGGCATGAATTTATCAATTAACATATGCACGAAAAGCAAAGAAGTAGAGAATAATGTATTTAAAGTAAACTATGACAACATTGCTGCTATTTCTTCAATGGAAAACTTAGCTTGACTCAGGTGTGTTAAATTTGAATAAATAACTTTATGGACACTCAGTGTACGAGGGAATTAGGCCTTATCTTTACAATAGGCCTTGTAATATTTACAAATGTTGCAAGCTAACGGTCGAGGCCAAACACTATACCGTTATACATTGGATATGTAATATGTTGTACACTTACGTGAATAATGAACAAAAACATATCTGTGCAATAGAAACTACTGGAAAAACAATATTGGAAAAATTAATTGCACACTATTAAACTTTTGCTATAAATTTATGATATATATAGAAATGTCGATTTGAATTGAAGGAAAATTATTTGCTTTGTATATCTAATTGGTCAATTTTTGCAAATTAGTGGGTACGTTAATAACTTGCAAAATTCCGAAATAGAAACCACAATTTGTAGAAAAATTGTTTCATTAAAAAAAATAACAGAAGTCCTTCTGTTAGAAAGCTCGATGCTTCTTTAGGGTTTAATATTTGCTTCTTAATAGTATTAATATAATAATGAATACATAAAATATATATTAAACGATATTATCTAATAAAAGGACAGCATTCGACTCACCGGTACTTTGCAACCATACAGTGTTCGACTCATGCAACGAATTATATGAATACCGAAACATTTAACGAAAATTGAAAAATTCACAAAAATGCATTCATTCTTAATGTGTTTGAGTAAATCAAGAGAAATAGCTAACTAAATATTACATAAGAATAATGTCTTTTTATATATAACCAAATTGAAATCAGTACAATATTTTATGTTTGAAAAAGTTGAAAAGAAAACATGAATTGAATGAATACTGTGCCTCTGTAAGTACTAAACACATATTATTAGCTATTGCGATCTGCCTCGAATTTGCTTCTAATTTGTTGGACTAGTTTGTACAAGGCACTAAATGCATCTGATATATATCGACATTTACACATACAAAAAATTATGTTATGTTATCTCCAAGTACACTGAATGTCCAAAAGCGATTAAGATGAGTTTTTGAATGGTATTTATAAGTACAATACTATTATATAGAGTGCTGGAGAATCGTGCAACAATCGCGAGAAGAGGGCAGTTTATCGAAGGACAAAAAATAAATTTAAATCAATCTGCAGAGTAAACATTTTTTATATAAATTGTTCTCTTGGGAGAGAAACCAGACCTCTATATGCTACTAGACTGCTACCTTCGAGCTGTGGTCTGGGCATGCGCCAGGCATTATGGAAGGCGAAAGAGGAAGAGATGGACAACGGTGAAGAGGAACCAGTGGAATCAATCATAAGGAGAGAAGATTGGAAAAAGTATGCAGTATTTTTTGGATTCTTACGACGAATTAGGAAGATAGTATGAAAGTGTAATCCACACAGAGTACGCCAAATGACAGCGTAGTCCACGGCGTTCCCGTAGAGGGAAAAACTAAAAAAAAAAAACCTTCGAGCTGCCAGTCTGTCAGCGACACACCGATGCACACATACTACTTTATTTACCTAACAAGACACGGCAGAACTCTTGCCTCACTTTTCAATTCGAAGGTAGCAGTCCAGTAGTATAGAGAAGTCTGCGAGAAAGAACGAAGATATACAATTACATATGTCGGATTAAAACACATTTTTACAGCTGCACAGATTTTATGTTTTCCTCCGCGTTTCCGTATTTTTAAAACATTTAATATATTCAAAACGTAGCTTGATTTAAAATTTTCTGTAGACTATCTATTATATTCTTAAAACATAAAAACTGAATTATTACTAGTTATTTCATTTAGATAATAATACTGCATCTTTTAATGCACGAATTTAATTTTTAATCAACGGTATAATCTTGGATTCATTTCAATTATTCTTCCACTTCATAAGTTTGGTATAAAAATTTTCCTATTTCAGATATCCTTTTTCACTGGCGAAATATCATCCCTCTCACGAATGTTGCTATAATTTTCATCGCACGCTATATAGTATTGGAGACTATACATCAGACTCTCTTTCCATTATTCATAAAGACATGCTTCCAATAGTTACCTTAAAATCTCTAGCTTAATACGTCTATCATGTCATATGTGTGTGTGTATATAACCAATTATTTCATTTACTTTAATATACAAGAATGATTTCAACACAAATAGCCAAACTTTAGATATTCTATCCATTCTGAGAAGAATACTAGCATAGACATGGAGATTTTCTTTGCGATTTACAAATACTTGCTCCTTGTTACAAAGTTCTAGAATCTGTAAAAGTTCAAATCCACTTTAATATTGTACGTTAACATTGTATCAATCATCAACATACAAAGAAATTATCAATTTGTTTACACAATGGAACACTCAGATGATGTTCATTAACGTCAAAAGAAAGTTTTCAGCAATTTTAGTAGTTCAATGGCATCAATTTCAAGTCATTACTCAAAAACTCCATTTTTAACGATTCTCAGAATGAGTAGAATACATTTCGAAAGCTTGACCATCCGTTTGAAGATCACTATGTGTATATACTGAAGGGAATATCTATGTATAATATTATATACATATATTTCAAAAGTTAGAATTGCACCCAACTAGCATTGGCCACTGTGGGTGCCGGTGCCGATGCCGACGCCGATGCCGCTGCTGACTGAGAAGCACTAGCAAATTCGCCCCACTCTGAACTCGTAACATCCTGATTTTGACTTTGTGGTGGCTTGTGCGCCGGCGAGGAAGTAGGAGTCTTTGCCGGTGGTGGAGCAATCTTGACACCACCCGGGGGAGGCGGCAGACCTACGGCTGGGTTGGTACGTTGTCTGGACTTGGACGCGACCTCGCTGCCGTCCTTTTTCTAAGCAACAAATATTACTTTAAGATACAGGAAGAAAATTTGTCCGGGTGCTCAAACGTCTGACTTTCCATATCAATTCGTGTTACACTCACATATACACACACACAGCTCTAGAAGGAATTTTAAAATTACTTGAATCAATAGAAAACGAAAGCTTCTAAAAACATTATTCGAAATTGAGAGAGATAGCCATTGACAGGCGACAACGAAATTCGTACTTTCCTTTCAATTGTTTTATCTTAGAACAATATTTTTTTCTCAACAAATGGACTTCAAGGATCAAATACTGTTTTTGTTAATGATTGACGTTACGTAGTACTTAGTTAACAATCCATTATAAATTACAAATCATACATTTCTGTTAATTTTTCCATCCTCAATGACGCAGCTCACAAGCCCACGTTACCCGTTGATCTTAACATCGAGTCTTTAGTTATTTAATCATTTATCTGAATGTTCTCTTCATCGTAATCCAAAGAAATGTCGACTCTTTGGACCTTAACAGACAATGCGATCACTGAGAAACAGGCGTATAATGAAAAGGTCCTTACGGTGATCTTCATGTTAATCTTGATAGTCTCGCCCTCCTTAAATCTGAGATCCAACTCCTGCTTTGGCTTCTCTTTTTCCTTCTCGATCTGCTCTCGGTTCTTCAGCCACTTGAAGTGATCCTGTAGCGCGACATTGAGATCAAAACTGTCAGACCTGTCTAAGAAGCCGACACCTATGAACGCCGAGCGTCCGTTGTCGTCTTGGATCCTCAGGACAAAGTAGCGGGACGAGTCGGTGACCGGTTCCACCGCTATTCCAGGGTACTGCTCGATGGGGCACTTGGCGAACAGCTCGCCCGTGATCTTGTCCTCCAGCTTTATCGTGATGCTGTCGCCCTGCGACACCAGCCGCATGCGACCGGTCCAGGAGGGCTCCTGCAGGTTCCAGTCGGCTGCTCTGTGACAGATCGGGCACCGTGAGAGGGAGAGTCGCGAAAGCGGGGCAACAAAACGTACCGCCGTTCCGCTCTACGCTAGGCTCTACTCGAGCGACTCGCGCACGGGGTCGTCTCTCGACGGGAAAGCAACGGATCCGTCGCCGATAACATATTGAACAGCCCCGCGGAACGTCGCGCCGCGCGGAGAGGCGTCCCCGACTTATCTTACCGATAACCCCTGTTGGTCGACCTTGGCGGGATTTTGAAGACGAACACCTCGGACTTGACCAGGAGAACGCTCTCGTACGTCTCCATCGCGCTTGCCATCGGAGATCCTGACGGGAGACGAGTGGCTGGAACGATGACGAGGGGGGGCCCTGCGCCAAGCAAGGCTACCGTTTGAGGTTTGTTCGCGCTCCCCTGACAAATGTCCCCTGCGATCAGCCGTGATTTGATAACTCTATCTCGAGTCACGCCTCCTGTCGCCCCCCACCCTTCCGCCCACGAGTTTGTCCGCTCGTCCATAGATTAGTCGCGTATAGACGGACCGGCTGATACCTCGCCACGCCCGCGGTCAGAGAGGAAGCGTGATTCACCGCAGGAACGCGATTACGGGGGAAATGATTAGCAATCGCTTTATCGCCGTTCAATGTCGATTCGGGGTGTCTTCCCGTTTCCTGCCAGCACTGCCGCCAGTACTGGACGCTATTACTGAATTCAGCCTCGGAGATAATCATTTCCAAAACGACTCGACGTCGTTTCTACATCGAACGACTCGAGTCATTTCTCGCTGGGGAGAAAACGACCGGGCAACGGTAGACGAGAAAAGCCACATCTGTCCGTACTAACAATAAAGCCAACGGCACACTGTACTATTTTTTCCTACTGGATTGCTTACGAGAGCCAATCAGGATGCAGAGTTTTCGATCAGGTGACTCAAAGCCGAATCCTGATTGGCTCTCGTAAGGAATCTAGTAGGAAAAATAGTATCGTGTGCCGTTGGCTTTAAGGGCCTGTGTCCACGATGCTAGAACTTGATCCAAGTTCTAGTTTCGAGAAATGTGTAGCCAATCGATTTGCAGCTTTTAGTCCCAGTCTACAATAGAGATTTAAGCCCTAAGCCTTAAGAAATTGACTAATCACAGTCGCGCATTCTTCTCATACTTGACCGTGATTGGCCAATTTCTTAAAGCTTAGGGCTTAAATCATCTATTGTAGACTGGGACTTATGGAATATAGCTGCAACTTGGACCAAGTTCTAGCATCGTGGATACAGGCCTTTACATACAGGTCCTGCATCTCATATGGTGGAGGTAGGTCGAATTTTTAAGCCAAAAATCGTTCGTCTCTTGGCCACGAGGGTCGCTGCGATACTGTGGTACAGCGGTAGTAGGACAGAGACACAGATATAGAAACTGTGTCTCTGTCCTACTACCGCTGTACCACTAAAGACCCTCTAATCAGAGTCTGGCCAACAGAGTGGTCCGCTAGGTTTAGTCAAATCCAACGAGAGAGAGGGCAGTACGATTATCTCACTCTCTCTTTGAGATATTCGTACTGCCCTCTCTCTCGTTGGATTTGACTAAACATGGCGGACCACTCTGTTGGCCAGACTCTGATTAGAGGGTCTCTAGTACCACCTTTGACTAGTACCACCTTTGACTATATAATCA